GGTTACTGTAATGGATGGAATTAAATTTGAATCCAATGATATTATCATTGTATACGAAAAACGATTCTGAGCGGAGACGGTTTGTCTGTCTAGGATATATTATAGATAATTAAAAATTTTCAAATCTTATAGATATAAAAATAAAAATGAATTGTGAAAGAAATGAAATGAAATGAAAATATGAATTTCTAGCTTAAAATAATTTGTGAATTTTCGTGATTTTTACGTATGTTGTCAAAATTCAAACTTTGAATGCTTATAAAAAAAATTGTAGTCAAGGCTCCTAACATATTTTTACAATAGCAGTTGAAAAATAAAAGAAATATACAGGTACAATTTTTTTTATAAGTATTCAAAGTTTGAATTTTGACAACATGCGTAAAAATCACGAAAATTCGTATTTTATGCCAGAAATTCTTAAAAAATTTTCTTTTTAAATCGAAAATTTGAAAATTTTTAATAATCTATAATATATCCTTGACAGATAAACCGTCTCCGTTCAGAATCGTTTTTCGTATACAATGATATAATATCAATGGATTCAAATTTAATTCCATCCATTACAATAACCCACTATTGTAACCTATTGTACAATAGAGTGACATCCACGAYTTACCCGCTTTTTATTTGYTCAATCGTTTCATATACACTATATATAATAGGTATATACATAATAAATACTAAATAGTAACACCACCAGATTAAAGGTTAATATTTTAAATAATATTAAAATTATTAAAACAATAACGTCTGACGTAAAATCATTTCTGTATTCTATTTTTTTTAAAGTTTTAGTAAAATTACCTATTTTATCTATATAGGATTTACTTAATTACATACTTAGCACAAGAGAAAAAAGATTAGCACAGCTGCAGTAGCTAAAACAAATATGAAATACCGATGTGGCGATATGTTACTGAATCGTCATTTTCGTACGTAAGAACCGTAATCATTTTCGTACAGATATCGATTACAGCATAATATAATGTTTGAATTTAATCAATTTTAATAAACTGCTTAGAAACACCAAAATAACCAGTATATTTTATGGTGTTCGGTTCGGTATCATTGTGGTAATGTCCTCCTTCATTGCGATCAGTGTACAGGTGAAAGTGTTGAAGTCTTAAATTCAGCCCCTAAAAAAAGGGTAAAAATTTTAGAAAAACATTTAGCACAACTGCACAAGGTATATTTATGCTCAAAAAAATAATGTTTGAAATTACAGGATCATGAGAGACTATGCATCCGACACCCACTGACGGTGGAGATAATTCAAT